GATTTGTGAGCTGAAGGAAAAATATTATATTGTCAGTATATGGACTAAATTTATATCTCAAATTAACCACTGTTTACCGATGCATCAAGCATCATATTCAAACACTAAAAAATGTGGTCTCTAACTGAATGTTAAGTTAGCATACCACGCTAGAGAAATGCATAACAAAAATCTTATAAACACCCAAAATCTGTTTCTAATTAAGAAACTATTTAGTGACCGAAATTTGAACATTTAACCGATGTAGAACATTCTAAACATCATTTTTAACTTACATTCGCTAGAAAACACCTTGAGGCGTCGTTTATTTGTGAGGTATAGATAGCGGTCTGCACCTCTTCGACTTTTGGGGCAAGGTGTCAGAGGTTTAAATCACCAATTTATTGCGCTAACTGACTGTAGGAAGAAATGTATGGCCCTCTGGTGGATCTAAAATTAATTTTCCAAATATTATTCGTAATTCTGTTTAAGTTTTTGCATAAATTTTTCTGATTGTGTTAAAGACGTCGCCAACATTTTGTTTAAATTTTGATCCCCAGATATAGTATGTAATAATATAAGAGATGTGCAATCTGCCAATAAAGTACTATGAATCTATAAGAGCAATCTGACACGATTCACGGTATTGAAAAATGCTAATTCTGTATGAATTATTAATCAATTTGTTTTATCAAATATAAGCTTTATGAATACGTGACACTATTCTTATGAAAATATGAGTATGTTTTGAAAAAAATCTCTTCAAACATAGGCAGCGTTTATTTCTACTGAAACGATTGCTTCTTAAAAACTGCACAAAATGTTTTAATTCAATTTGAACTTAGGACGAAAAAACCTTAATGAAAAATGCATGTTCGTTGTCCAAGTCACATTTAGTGAAATGACCTTAGTTTTCAATAACCGCGCTTCAAATAATTTTCTTTAATTTTTCGTAGGAGAGGCTAACATGTAACTCTACCAACACATTAACCATATTGTCTATTCTTTTGTTGTGTTTTTTGAAAATTACATGGCAAGCTGGACAAAATAGACATTACTGAGGCAAAGATTCATGTGTAAGGTCAAGTAAGCTTAGCGAGAGCAAAGGAAATATAAACTAATCGCGTGCGGACCCTAACAGTCTGTGCCATTCGGTCATGCAACACTAGTAATTCCTCGTTACCGACTTACGCAGTCAGATATGTTTGTACTGCGAAAAACCGTCAACTTCCGACAGAAATTCCTTATTTACAGACCGCCTGTCAACAAAAAATTAAAAATCAGTGATAATATGTAGGGCGAGGAAATCATTATTGAACACGTAGTGTAGCCAAATCGCATGTTTGTGGGTCTTGATAACAAAAGCTCGATGGACGGCAAATCGAATGTCTGCCCGTACTGTCCTGTAAAACACGCGTTGCGGTTTTAAACCCTTTCAACAGATTACTTCCAAATCAGTATTGCCCCAATCTATGGTGAGCTTGTGTCTGTGAGTCTTAATTTAAAGAGTGTTTTGATTTCGGGAAGTAAACTTAGCCTTTGGGTATTTCCAAAATTTCCAAAAAATGGCTCCATCTGTATTTCTTACAATTTCTCGCTCTGACATTCGTTTGAAACGATTTTTCCGATGCGAAGGCAGCGCCGCGCGCAAAATGCAACCAGTGCATTCACAAAAAGACTTGGCGTTTGTAGTTGTAAACCAGAGAGCCCTGCCTTCCCTGCCCCCGCTTCCCGCCGGCCCGCGCAAGCCGCTCCGCCGCGCCGAGTCGTCGCTGCCCGCGCCCCGGCCGCACCACCAGAGGAGCCGCGCCGCACGCCGCCGTACCCATAAGGAGCCCAGCGCCCAAGATGTCGCAGCCAGGGCTGCGATCTCTCCCACCTCCAGGTTCGCTGCCGCACCCCCGACACGCGGCGGAGAGCACCTCCGTCAAGCTGCAACCCCCACTTATTCGAAATCGATACAGCTACGCCTCACTGTTGGATGTGGTTTTTTATTGTTATAGCGAGTACATATTTTATTGTGGTAGAAATTATTACATAATTAGTACAAATTATATGGCGAGTATAATTTTGAATTTCGAATAAGGTGGGTGATGCAAGAGCTTGACGCGGTCCGTTGACTGAGCGTCCTGACCGGAATCGTACGGCGTAGGCTACGTATATTCCGCTGCTCCCTGAGCCCCAACTGACTCGCCGGCTGGCGCCCGCTGCCCTAGGTATGAGGCGGGCCTGGTTTGTATGAAGAGTAAAGGGGCCGGGAGGAGCCCTGGTAAGAATTGGCACCCGTTTTTAAGTGTTTAAGTTGGAGATACAAAATTTTTAATTGTGGTAAGAAATTATACATAATTAGTACATACAATGTTAGGCTAAGGGTTAATTTTTTTTCCCAATTTTTAGTGTGAAGAAAAGTGTGGGGGAGTGCAACTTAATGCCTCAAGCTAGCACCCCCGACTTTTTGAGTTGGTTTTTTTATTGTTTATATGTACGAGCTACAAAATTTTAATTGTTAGGAAATGTAGTACATAATTAGTACAAAATATAGGCTAGTTAATTTCTGAATTTCGGAACAAAGTGCGGGTTGCAGCTTGACGAGTTAAAAAAAGGTGGTCATTCGTCCTCTCTTTCCTTTGGGGAGGTACCTGAGGGAAAATGCGTGGGCACTAAAACATGGGACTGCGACTCGTTTTTCCACATTTCGGCAAGAATTAAGGATTCTTGAGCTGTACTGATGAAGCACCCGCCAGCTTCCGCGCGTCGCTTAGCGTACTTACACGAATCGTCTGACAACAAACATGCCTTACAAAGCGGGTAATAAACAGTTATAAATTCCGGTGGACGGGTCAGCCTAGGAGAAAAATACTTCTAATGAATGTAACAAACGCCCGGTTT